CTCACCTGGGTTCTTGCAATGGCCAAGCGACTGATGTCTCTGTGTCCACAGAGTGGCTGCACAAAGCTATGCTACCTCTTCAGCCTCATTGTCGCCCTCCCTCATTAGGCTCTGGCTCCATGTGGACTTTTTAGCTCCATTATAAGATCTTTCTTACCTCAGGGCCTTCACACGTGCTGCCCGTGACCTGAATGTCTCCTCCTCCAGTCATTCCCTTCCCACAGCTGTACTCTTGGGTAATGTTTTCACACCTTTCATGTCTTAGTTGAACCGTCTTCCTTTAAGAAGTTTTCCCTAACCAACACCCTTAATGTCTATCTCCCACCATTATACAATGTCATATCATAATTTACAATTGTATATATATTTTTAAATTTCATATAATTTCCTCAATAGGACTAAAAACTCCATGAAATCAAGAACTAAGTCTACATTTTTTGTGACTGTATATTTAGGACTTAGTCCAATGCCTAACAATAAATACTGGTGAATGAATAAACTTCTTTCTTTGCTATTTGTCTTATTCAGCACTCACAGCTTGGCAGGGTAGCCAACCCGTTTGTACACCACTCCTAGGTCTTTCTCATGGTGATATGAAAAGTCTGAGTATCTGGAATTAGACAGACCTGGCTCTGACATCTACTTGTGAACCGACTATGTGACTTTGGGAAAATTGCTTAATTCAGTCTCCCAACCTGGAAAGTGAGAAAAGAGTATCTATCATATTACGAAGATTAAAATAAGATTATGTATCAAGAGTTCTGATCATAAACTGCTATGATCAGTTTGAATGATGGTGTCCCCTCCAAATTCATGGGCTGTGGCTTTCAGAAATTAATTATGTTATGAGGGCTCCACTCTCATGAGTGGGATTAACACCCTTATAAAAGGGCTTGAGGTAACAAAAGGGAGGACCTTCTTATTCTTCCATTTTTCTCTGCCATGTGAAGACATAACATTTCTCTCTTCTGGAGGATGCAGCTAAAGAGTGCCATATTGGAAGCAGGCAATAGCCGTCACCAGACACTAATCCTGCTGGTGTCTTGATCTTGGACTTCACAACCTCCAGAATTGTGAGAAATAAATTTCTGTTCTTTATAAATTACCCAGTCTCAGGTATTTTGTTATAGCAGCACAAACAGACTAAGACATAAAGGTACTTAATAAAAGTTAGTTCCCTTTCTTTTGTAACTCCTTCTAAACTCCAAAATTTTCTTACCCAACAGATATACATGCACACATACAGAGTCTGAAACTGTGAGAATATCCATCCTGCCCTTCTGCATCTTTCTGACTGTGACCTTCCCACTGCCTTTAAGATACTTAGCTAGGGAGCAGCATTTATAACATTACATCAAATACATAATTGTAACGCTAAGGATCTGGAGTTTGTATTATAAGGGCACCTTCTCAAATATATCTGACGATAGCACAACGAGGAGGAAGGCAATGCTATATTCGATCGTGTAGAGGCATTACTTTAAAAGAAAACACCAGATGGCAGCACCAGATGCTGGAGATGTGTCTGACGGGGCTTTAGCTCAAACCCGATCATCAAAGATGCCAAAAGTTGCTTAAAACTACATTCAGAGAGACAATCATTTATAGATAAGATCATTTCCCTTAAGAAAAATAATACCTATTTTGCAATATAGGAGTGTTTCACATGATACAAGCAAAATCCTATGAAAATAACCTCAAGGATTACCTAACTAATAAAAGGTTATTAGACTAAGTCTTCATCTTGGTTTGCAGTTATAGTTAATTAACTCTGTCAGGCTCTGTGTTCCCATGAGCCTGAAGCTAAAAGAATGAGTTGCTATCAGCTTTTAGAAAAGGGCGATATTTTTACCAAATATTAAATGCAAACGTCAAAAGTTATTCATTCATATTAAAATAAGGAGCAATAATGACTTCATTATATTCCTCAGCATAATTTAGAAAGTCACTTGCTAAAGTAGATATCAAAGGATCTCATTAAATGGATGCAATATTAAAATTTAAAACAACAATCTGTGGTTTTTCCCTATTATACATCAAAATTTCTTCATAAATTAACACCACGTTTGAAATCTTGCTAAATAGGATAGTCCTCGGCAAGGCTGTTCTTCTTTTAGAGGAAAGTCAGAGTGTGATGCTGCTCGTTACAGCACAAACCGGGAGAGCAGCAGTCCCGGGACCATCCTACCTTTTAAATAAAAATTCACACTGAGGATATGTCATTTATTCCTCTTAAATCCTGCTTAGTGTCCTTCACAACATTCCTGTGAGATCAGGAAGAGTGAATCTGGCACATATTTCGAATGAGGAACAATGCGACAATTCAAGCCAATGCAGTGGTTAGAGGACAACGCAAAATGCCCCCTGAGACCGTAGAGCAGGACTTGTCTGACTGGTGTCTGTGCTCAGATTTGGTTGAAGGACCACAGGAGCACCTGTGTCACAAAGGAACTGAGCCAATCTAGGTTGGAGCCTCATTCCAAGGGAAAGGCAACTCGCTCTGCCAGTGAAACAGCTCCTGTCCCCCAACCAGAGTGAACTGTTTTCCTAGTATTATGATCGTGATTCTGAAAATACTTCCCTCACCTGACTTCACTACAAGCTTGAATCCCTTGAGAACATCAGGCATGATAGCTGGTTCTAATCTGAGGTCAGATCAAGGAGTCCAGAGGGAAATCATCTGGATTGTGAAAAGGAATGTATGCGCGTCACAGGCAGCCAAAAGGCAGCTGTCACAGACAGAAGAAATTCTGAAATCTAATAATGTAGAGGGTAGCATTCTTTATGGAAAATGAGTGATTCATAGCACTGTCTAAAATTTAAATGATACAAGGAAAGGAAAACATTGACAGAATCAAATAGTAACTAAAAAGGAGAACTACGCTAGGGAGGAAAGGCTCTCTGCTGCCGGCACTGCGGAAGGCAAACGCCTTCCCTAGGGAAGGGACAAAGCCCACTGCTTTGAAAGATCTTAAGCCTCTCTGAAGCCTAGGAGTTTTCTCCATTTTTATTAACCCAAACATGTTGTAAGTCTGGCAGCTAAAGGGACCCTATCTTGGATGACCTTCCTATGCCCTTCCCTGAAGCCTGTGTGGTCCCCAAACGGGCCAGCACGCATCTGACAGTGGTGGGGCCAGTTTCCCACAGACGCGTGCATTCTCCGGCCTGCAAGCAGGGTTTGGAGCGCTCTGACACAGCCATGGCCTCTAGATGGCCTCCCCCTACTCTGACCTAAATGCACAAGTCATGCAGGGGCCACGGCTCTCCCCTCCTGACACTCTCCCCTCCAGACGACCGGGTGAGTCAGGAAGGTGTCTTCTTGGGACGCTGTGGGCCCAGGCCAGCCTCTTCTAGCAGTCGTGACGGACTGAGAACATGCTGTGCCCAGCCTGCTGGCTCCACTCTGGAGCACAAAGTATGTGTTACAACAACAAGCACAAGAATCCCGACCACACTCTTCCCTATCTCCAGATCTGTAATGAGAACGTTTGAAGTAAATGCATACAATCAAGAAACAGGGCTGCAAGTCAGAACGCTAGCGGAGTTTCTGATCTGTGGCCCTGAGACACACATTCTTTTGCTCTCTGAATCCAGACCCCACACGTTCTGGAAGGAAAGCAACAGTCAGAAGATGGGAAAAACAGATCATGTTTACGAGACCAGCTTGAAGACCATGCCACACTGAGGAGTTTGGTTTTTCATATGGCAAAGAAACTAGCGTTTTTTTCTTCATCGTTCATTGGAAAACTTGCCCAGCATCTGTTAGTCTGACTCTTCGGCTTTAGAATCATTGTCTTGGAATCTCCTAAACCAGTAAGACCATAATCATTTTATTTTAAACATAGACCTTGAGAAAAAGGTCTAGACAGTTCCCAAAGTACTAAAATAAAAAAGTAAGAAATAACAATGGAATTAAAAATAAAGGATGTACCCTCCCCCACCAGTCCCTCTGTTTCATCTTTTACAAATGCTGTATAATCTTAGTTTTCCTAAGAGTTCATTTAAAGTATTCCTGCAGGCTGGGTGTTTCAAGTAGCAAGCCAGGAAGAAAAGACTTTTACCACTTCCTATTTCTCATGATTTGATATTCTGCAAGGTTGACACAAACAGTGCATCCGGTAACTGGCTTTATGGCAGGAAAAAGAGCCTGGACCATGCCCTATTTTGCAGGTAGCCACCCTCATAAGCATCCCTCCACAATCATGATTGATGAAGAAACTTCAGATGAAAGCCCAACAAATCTTTACCATACAACCTGGGGACCCTGGGATCATGCTTTTTTAGAATGGCCCAAGAGGGAGGTCAGAGCCCTATGATCAGCCCTAACACAGGGCACAGAACAGCAGTGGGATTAAGCACTTCCCAGAACCATCAACATAAATCTAGTTGCTGGGGTTAATTTCCTATTACTATAATCATATAAGTGTTAATAGAAAACATGCTGTATTTACAGAGCATGTGCATTTCTGAAAGTGCTCCAGTATTTAATTGTTGCTAAAGTCATTTGGGGTCTTTGACACAGATTCTATTTTAGTAAGATAAACTCAGCATGACCCAGCATTGCCAAAAATGAATTCCTAAGGTAGATGACTAAAATAAACCAGCAATAAATATTGGCTGTTGGAATGGGAACTATATCTCTGTAATGTAGACACAGCTTTAATGACTCATTTTCAAATTACAGTCTCTCCCAGGGATTACTGGTATGAAGGATCAGGGAAAAAAGTAGTCCATCTCTCTTTCTTTTAGGGAGCAAATTGAAGAGGAACATGAACCCATCAGGCAAGGTTGTTCTGATATCTATTTTGCCAAGAGAGCTATAGCTCCTAGAGTCCAACGGAGAGTCAACCTGCACAAGCTACACTAAAGCAGAAATAGGGCATTGAAAGAAAAGACCCTAGGGGCTGAGGCTGCTGATTATGGGAAGAGTTTTCTCTCACTCCCTGGAGGCAGAAGGTACTACCAGATCCACCTAATGCATCTCACGTGGCGTGAATTACCTTGTCAGCTACACTGGGTTCTGCCATGGTCCTCTGCTGCTGGGGATTAGTGGGCTCCTTTAGGCTACCTTTACTCTCTAAGGTCAAATTCTGATCTCTTGGCCCACGAGCTTGAGCTTTACAACTTCTCTGATGTACCAGGAGGCGGTCTGGGGCGAAGGTCCGGCCACAATTCAGGCAGGGTACAAGCTGAACTGGACTTGCTCCCTCTTGGCTCAACTGTCCAGCTGGAAGGGGCTGAGGCTTCTGTGGGAGTGGCCGGCGGAGCTCTCTGGGGAGCTGGTCATTTTCTATTTTCCACTTCTCCAGGCATTTGGGCTCATGAATAGGAAGAGACAGGGTGCCAAATTCTCTACCACAAATGTAGCAGATAAGAGTCCGAGGTCGGGCTGAGATTCCACCAGAAACTTTCTTGAGACCAGTGAGACCATCAGACCTGTTGGGGTTTGGAGCTCTGGGATCCTCACCCTTTGGCTTGCAGCTTCTCTGGTGCACGAGAAGACGGTCTGGCAGGAATGTGCGGCCACAGGAGTCGCAGGGCAGGAGCTGGGCCTGGGCGCTCTGAAACGCGGCCTCATTCGCTGCCTCAAGACTGTAGGCCCCACCGCCGCCGAGAGGCTGTGGCTTGGAGGGTTCTGGCCTCCTCAGGTGCTTGGGCAACTTGCTGTTCTCAATACGCCACTTCTCCAAGCACTGGGGCTCGTGGATGGCGAGTGACTGGGACCCAAATTCTCGGCCACAGATATAGCACACCCGGAATCCAGGCCTGCGAGACGGGATCACAGGGGGGCTCGGCTGGCTTCCCGACATGCTTCTCCCACCTGCCCGTGTCGACAGTACCACAGTCCCAGGTCTACTCTTCTGAGCGTTCGTCTTTATTTTTTCACCAGGAATGGCATGCTCTGTTTCTGGCAAAAAGCTAGAATAGGAGTCACTAGATAGGATAGCTTGGTTGATAAGGAAGGTGGGTTCTTTAGAATGGTGAAAAGTTTGTTGTAATTTATTGGAAACTCTCTTCTCCTTTCCTCTTTCCATGAACAAAGAAGTCTTTCTCCAGTGCCTGCTCTGACTTCAGGTCAGACTCATTTTGGGCTTTTGCTTAGAGCGAAGGTTAGCGAGGTTGGCTGTCCTGGCGCTCACGCTGCTGCCAGTACCTCAGTCCCAAAGACCGTGACTCAGAGCTCCATTGCAGGCAGCAGTCTGGAATGCTGGAAAGTCCCCATTGAGCCTCAGATGCCTCCAAAATCTGTGGGGGAGAGGGGGAGACACAAATCAAGAACTTTTTTATGTGTAAACACACACACACACACAGACACACACACACACCACCTTAGACTGAAAGCTAATAAAGGGCATAAAGGGCAGTGGGTTGTGTTTTTGACCTTGTATCCCCTTAGGCTGGCATTGTAACCAGCACCATAGGATTTGTTCAGTACACTTTGAAATAAATAGGAAGAAATTCTCCGCCATGAACTGCGTCGTTACCACAACAAAAGTAGTGTTCTGTGCAAAGAAAAACTGACAATTACAGCACAACATAGACACAGATGGCAGAAACCAACAGGCCAGGGTAGGGAGACCAAAGAAGAAGAAACAAAAAACTGAAAACTAGATTAACAAAATCAGTAGGTCATACGAGAAGACCTCCTGAAGCCCACAGAAACTTCCACCACCTCAGGGATTCTTAACTTTTTAGTTCCATGGATGCCTTAGACAGTTCTGTGAAGCCTATGGACTTCATCTCAGAACAAATGTTTCTTAAAGCAAAGAATAAAATTTTTAATATTACAAGTCATTGGAATAATTCATCAAATATTTTTGAGTTGTGATATACATTTTAATTGAGATATAGTTGTCTCACAGACGAGCTCCCATGGACCTGAAACTAAGAACACCTGCAGAAGAAGTAATCTGGTGCAATAGTGAATATTATTAACATAAGGTTTATCAGGAAAACCCTCAGAGGGGTATACCTCACCATGTATCCACTTTTCTTTATTATGGGAAGGGGATATTAATAAAGTGTGGGCTGGGCACGGTGGCTCACGCCAGTAATCCTAGCACTCTGGGAGGCCGAGGCAGGAGGATTGCTTGAGGTCAGGAGCTCGAAACCAGCCTGAGCAAGAGCGAGACCCCATACCTACTATAAATAGATAGAAGTTAATTGGCCAACTAATATATATAGAAAAAATTAGCTGGGCATGGTGGCGCATGCCTGTAGTCCCAGCTACTCGGGAGGCTGAGGCAGGAGGATCACTTGAGCCCAGGAGATTGAGGTTGCTGTGAGCTAGGCTGACACCATGGCACTCACTCTAGTCTGGGCAACAAAGCAAGACTCTGTCTAAAATAAATAAATAAATAAATAAAGTGTGGCCATGATTCTCAAGCAAACAATGCCACCTAGGCCTACACCCATGAGTATCTGCAAATCTTCCATGGAATAAAGATGCTCAGTCAGATGTTACTTAATGCTCTTTGTTTTAGGCATCATACTTACTTTCTTGTTGTGTATATATATATATATATATATCTTCCAAATATTTTTATAAAAACAAGGCCCCTGGATTTTCCAAACAAACCAGAAGAGAGGGCTGATAATAACCCTTTATGGGAGAAGCCTAAGTTTTTATCTTGGGAAATATCATGGGTAAATTTTACCAAGGGTCTATAATCTAACTCCAAAAATGATTGTTGTCAGAAGCCTCAAGACCTTATTCATTCCCTGAAGGATGACCCAGATCAGGGTCAGAGACTCTAGAGCACCCATCCTCAATCACAGAAGGAGCAAGCCCTACCCGATGTGAGGCTGGGCCCTGAACACCATGCAGACACTCAAGTTCAGGCTGGACAAGGATGGCGGTGCTGGTAATATGGAAACGTGGGGCATTGGGTGTGACAAGGGACAAAAAGAGCTGGAAGACCTGTGCCCAGTTCCTGTACTTTGGTGCCAAGAAAGTTCTGAATCTTTGCCATGAAGAGTATCGAATCAGGTCTGGCATGGAGAAGGAAGTTATTCTTCATTTTGACAGATCCTAAGACAGTAATATTAACACATGTGGCAAAAGTATGTGTTGGCCCCAGAATGGCCAGCACAGAAAATGAAGCTTAGAGAAATTTATCGCTTGATCAGCACCATCCAAAAGAGAAAGTAGGTCTAGGAAACACAGGAATAGGGTAAAAATATTTCATTAGGTTTTTATCAGCCCATTGGCAGAATAACCCCCAAACTACTCTGCTTCATCGGCTCTGAATCCTTGTTCACAAAGGACCTTTAGGGTTTCATTTTCCTGGATACCAAGAGGTTGCACACTCACACTACTTAAGGTAACATTACAAAAATGAATGTGATCAAGTAAATTTCCTTGCCCTGAACACCCCTTTTCCTACATATGCATACACACACGCATGCGCACACACACACGTTGTCCCCAGCCGATTAGAATACTGAGAAAGCCTCATGTCTTGCCCGACAACTCCTCCATATCCCTTCTGATAAGAGAAGCAATGTTTATTGAATGCTAATTATATACCAGATATTGCACTAATTTTTATAAACATAATTTTAATTTTCAAGTGATTATGAAGCAGGTATTATTATTTCAATTTTATAAATAAAGAAACTATGACTCAGAAAAGAGAAGTCACTTGCCCAAGACAGTCCGTTTCGAAATGACAGGACTGGGAACCCTTTCCAGTTCTCTCTGGCTCCCATACTCGGCTCTTTCCATTATTCATTCTGCCTAAATTCCACCGGCAGAGCTTCTTCCCTTTAGTTTTCCTCCTCCTCTTAATGTACTATTCATATGCCTCCTGGGAAGGTGGGGAAGCTCCCACAGCCTCGGCTTGCTGTTAGGGGAAGGAGGAAGCGAAAGGGAGGAGGGAGGCAGGGCACAGAAGAGAAACCTCCGAGATGGAAAAAGCAGAAGAGGGACTGGATTACGGGCGGCAATGTTTCCCTTAAGTGACAGGGCCCTTTAAGTTTGCTATATGTAACTGGTTTTCTAGATGGAGGTTTTTCCTGAGTGATGCTCAATGCAGATCCTTTTTCTGATTTCACCAACATCTTAAGAAAAATAGAATGAGCTGGGGATAGGGATGAATGAGGGGCGTGGGGTTGGGTCAGCAACAAATGACGCATTTCGTCTGTCTTTACAACAGGCGCAGGGTGACGGAGGGCTGCCCACAGAGGCCAGGCGGCTCCGTCCTCGGTGATTAGGAAAGGATCTTGACCGCACGCAGACGTTTGTGTCCTGCAAGTATTCCCTCTGCAGCAAACAGGATGAAACATCATAAAACCTCATCTGAATCTCTACCTTTTCTTTCTTCTACCATCCCCTTCCTCCTGCAATGTCCTCTTGAAATTATTTGCTTATTGTGAGTAAAGGTATCAAAGTATGAGAGATGAGGTAGCTGGAAGCTAGTGAAATTTGGGGGAACGAAAGTGTCTAATGGAGAAATATATGATGTTTCCGCTGTGATTCTGCCTAGGCAATGTGCCATGGCACAGCATGGTCAGCTGCTCTACCTGTAAGTTAGTTCTAAAAGCAAAAGTGCTGGAAAATACTAAATGCATATACTTAAATCACTTAAGGAATTGGCCTGTCACCCAGACACGTCATAAAGCAATGTTGCTAGTCTATAAAGAGAACGACTTTGCAAAGCCAGACGGCTTCACCCAACCATCTCTGGAGAAATGTTCACTCTCTTGGCCTGAATTATTCACTTTGACCATATTTGCACATAGGACATGTAAAGAATGTCTTGGAAGGCATCACATTTTATCAATATGATGCCTTTTTCCCATCCCCTTTGGGGTTCATGGGAAGGGAGAGACAAAGTCATAAGGATGAATGTAAGAACCATCACAAAGATGGAAACCCAGGACCCCTCTTGGCATTAGAAGGTGTTTCTCTAAAAGAGACGAGGAAGAACACAACCAAAAGTATGGTTAAATCTTTTAAAAAATAATTTAGTCCTTTGAAACAAAATATAAATGGTCCATGACGTGACCTCTTCCCTGTTAATATAGAACCCACATTCTTTAAATGGACAAAAATATAAATAAGGAAGATGGAGTTGGGGCTGATGCTGGCTGTGAGCAAAATTCTAAAATAGCAGAGTTTTGTCTTCAAGGTCCTGCATCCACTCAAGGTCCCCACTCAGCGGCCTCCACTCCCCCAGCCTGGTTTCCTCATGTACTCTCCGGTCTTTCTCCCCTAAGAAATCTCATGTCAGAAAGGAGCTTATGGATTTGTTCACATCAAGGATTATGACTGATGAGGTAATATCCTTCCCAGAGTCTGGCGGAGGGAGTTGGTTCTCTACCAGTACCCATTCTGCCCAACCCCCTCAAATTAACAGAGTACCAATTTTTACCTGGACACATGATTTCCCCAGTTAAAAGTCTATAAGCTCCTTTGTAGCTAGTGGAAGTATTGTGTGGAACTTGTAAGAGGATCACAGTCTGCTTCTCTTCCTTTCTTTCATACTGATGCTTAGAATATAGATGTGATGGCTGGAGCTCTAGCAGCCATATTAGAACAGATTAATCTGCGTAACCCTTGATATGACAGACCAGAGATTTGAATGGACTTGGGTCCCTGATAATGTTGGAGCCACAATCTGAGCCCTGGAGTGCTTTCCTTGGACTTTTATTCACATAAGAGAAAAAAATGTTTATTTGTATTTTAGCCACTTTTTAAGGGCCTCTTACTCACATGAAAACCTAATGCAAATTGAGATATATCTATATTTTAATAGTGGTCATTGGTTTAGCACAAATTAATTCTAATAGTGATATTTCAAATTTTGGGATCTTTTTTGATTAGAGAATTTTTTTTGAGGTAGTATGTGTTTTGAGGAAAATTTGACTTATTAAATATACACTTTTTCCTGAAAATCAGAGATAAAAAACTTGAGGCCAGGCCTGGTAGCCCATGCCTGTAATACCAGCACTTTTGGAGACCAAGGTAGGAGGCTAGAAGTTCAAGACCAGCCTGGGCAACATAGGGAGACCCAGTCTCTAACAAAAAAATTAAAAATTAACCAGGCATGGTAGCATGCACCTATATAGTCCTACCTACTCTGGAGGCTGAGGCAGGAGGACCACTTTTGCCCAGGAATTTGAGGCTACAGTGAGCTATTAAGATGCCACTTCACTCCAGCCTGCGCAACAGAGCATCTCTTTAAAAAAAAACAAAAAACCTATATATACGGAACCAATGGCTCTTAAGAAATTGATTCACA